TTCCTCCTCGTCTCCGCAGCCCCTTGCCATCCGGCCGTGGGTTCCACGTCAACCTCTGCCACGTTATTCGCTCGGTATTATGAATTTAGAAATATCATAATATTGGCGACGTGTTTTCACGATATTGAATTTCAAACGCGGTCTCTATAGCGTCCAGCGCCAACCCATGGAATACTTAACATTCCTGCTGCACTGTATACGCGCGCGCGCGCGCGCGATTTCTCGGGCAACATCGTGTCGCGGTAAATGCCGGAAATTACACGGCTGGTTTCACAGTGTCCTTTGTGCCGGAATTTGTTCTGCGGCGTCTCGGGTCGCCTAGCGGCGTCTAAGTGTTCGACGTGACGGCGAAACTTGCTAAGTCTTTTAAATTAAAAAAAAAAGAAAAAAAAGTGAAGGATGGATCTCGGAAGTGTCTTCCCGAAAGAGGAGATCATTCGGAAAAGGCGCGCTCCGGATCCGCCGCGTTTATTCTTAGTCTCAAGTCAATCTTACGCGCGTGTGCGTTTTACGCTATGGTATAAATTGTCTCCGAAAGTAAATTTGTCTCTGCGCAAGTAGAATTCTCAACCAGTTACCAGTTACCGTGTCGCTCCGTCGCGACACGGTACACCGTCGCCTCGCGCTATGTACTCCATGAAAACGTTTTCCTCGTCCAGGCCAGGGGAGGGGGGGGAAAAAAAAGATCTCTCGCGTCTCCTCCGGCGAGACGTTTGTACACTGAAATTTAAGAAAGCTGCTCTATCTAGACGACTTTCCGCCGCGCCTCCGTCGAGTCTCTCCCTCTGTCTCTCCTCGAGCCGGCAGCCTGGCGCCCACGATCGACGTCCAATCCTTGGAAAGCTGCACTCTCTTTGAGGCTCCTGGAAAAAGTTGAAAGGCTCTCTCCCCCAGACCTCCGCAACTCGAGCCTCGGTTCAACCTCGCACTGTCGCTGCTTCGACTCTCCTGCTCTCTCCCTGACTCACCCCTCTCTCTTTCTTACCCCCCCCCTCTCTCTCTCTTCGAAAATCGTCCGGATTAACTTTATATAACTTCGGCCGGGAGCCGCGTATAAATCAAAGGAACGCAATTAATCGGATCTTGATTGCAATACTTCGCGGACTTTCAATATCCAATTCAAGGCGACCAGTCGTGCTCGTCTCACCTGCCGGCGCGGATTTTCCGCCACTCGCCCGGGCGGCGACTGCGACGTCTGTATGTTGTCCCCCCTCGCGCTGCAACCATTGTGGTCGACGTGAATGTCTTTTTTTTATTCTTGCTCGCATGCATGAAATACGGGAGTTGTTGCATCGTGGCGCCGCGATTAAAATCAAAACTGGAATTATCTCGGGAATTTTGAATTAATTAATTCCATTGTTTCGCTCAAGTATGCGCTGCTCCATTTTTAAATTCGACTGCAGCCCAGCTTCAGCAGTTCTCCGTCCGGCAGATGTTGATTCGGCGTCAATTTGCGAGATTGTCGAGATCCGTCGGACGGGGCGAGGTGGCGCGCCTCCCTCCGTTGCATTCTGGGCAAAGTTCGCCGCGGAACTGCGAAACCAAACTTCCTTTTCCGCGACGGAAGTTCGACTACCTGGTCGAGCCGGCCGTTGGGTGACAATGAGCCTAAGGTAACCACAACCGGGTGGTGTCTCTGCCATTGTTGTCGCCGGTTGCCGACGGAGTTAGACGGTGCCTGACCTCGGTTTCCGTGATTCACAGAAGTACCTAACCGGGTTCTGCCTTTGAAGACATCTCCCGCGCGCGCTGACTACATAATGAGTCTTTCTACTTACATGGCACCTACGTCCTCGCGCGAGTTCCAGTACTTCGTTGCTCCGGCAACCTTTGTGTTCTATCGCGCTCCTTCTTGATTCGACAAATTCGTATCGAAGTGGCGTCGCCCTTTGCAAGTTACGTCTTCGGGAAAGGTATTTAATTCGAGCAACGAGGCGCGCTCGAATACGTAAAATCTGCCGGATGCTCGGAATGTGAGAAACGAAGCGCAACTCGAGAAAGAAAAAATCGTAATTGTACTCTTTCATTTCCAAAATTGCCTTCTTAAAAGATGGGGATGCAAACGCGCTTAATGAATAGCAAAAATGGCGCCGTTGCTGTTCGCAAAACGAGAATCACTCCCATTTGATGTCTGCTGTTTGCAAAATAAGTAATATACAACTTTTAAATTTATATAAGACAATAGCGCAATGCGCTCTTCGCGTTACATCGCATCGTTATTATTACCACCAATATAATTAAGAAAAGTAAGCGCTTGCTGCAACCGCAAGTGTGTTTTCCCCAATGTGCCGTCTTGCCGTGGCATTGCAGCGGCGTGGATTCTCATTAAATGAGATTTGGGGTTTAATTATCTTAGAAGGTACGTTTACAGCTGAAATGCTTCAGCCGTGAAAATACATATTCGTGTTTTCCGGTTGAAACGTCAAAAAATCTGAAAACTATTACAATTACATCGTCAGTGTAAAGACTCGTTTATTGGATGTCAGCAGTCAGCCACTTGTGTTTTACCCGCCGTTTGCTTTCCCGTGTCTCTTATTTGTTTACAACGTCATCGTCAAATTTTAATTAAAAACAATGTGTTGTAAAATACGAGTTAATTTTAATTGCCTTTATGATCGCAGAATGGTTAATTATAATTTATAATTAGGTTACGTATAAAATAACCCTCGTTCGGGCAAACGATTTGTTCCGCAAAGATGATCATATACGTCAAATATTAAATTGCTATTAATTAATTATCGCGATTGTACATACAACGAATTTTGGATATCTACTCTACCGAAATCGCGTGGACATCCTAATGAATGATTGTAATTGCCCAATAATAATATGGCAAAATATTTCTTCATTAATACATGTTAATATATTCAGGTGGAAATATAACGATCTGCACTAGTTAGTTTTACGCACAATGCGAAAGCGCATGGTAATCATTACAGTCAAATTATAATTGTTATGTTTGTTACATAATTAATCCCTCCGTGATTTTCATAATAATCAGCGCGTTATAAAAATACGCGGCATATAATAATCATTATAATCTCGCGCGCGATTAATAATTGTAAAATTAAATTATTACGGAAAGTCGAACGGCGGAGAGAAAGAAGAAGTAATCGACGCTTTCCTCCGGGAATCGAGGATTTCAAGCAATTTTGAGAATCGGCGTATCGATATTGCACTTAATTAAGATAGCGCCGGGCTAATATCCCGATGCAATTCGGCGGGGATTACAACTTGTATCGCGCTTCCGTAGAGTTCTCTGAAACCGCGTAACGCGCACGCGGCGATAGAGGGGAAGGAAGAAACGAGAGTCTCGCTCTTTTCCGTCTTCGAGTCGAGTCAAGTCTATCCTCCCCCCTTTCCCCGCGCGCCGCCACGGGGACCGATAGAAAGCAAGAAAGAGGAGAAGAGGAGGAAAAAATCGGATTGTCCGGTTTGTTGGACCGGCAGCGCTGACTCCGCAGGCTCAGCCAGTAATACATCAGGGGCTTACTAACCCCTCAAACGTAAAATACCCATCTAACCCACTCCCTCATCTCGCCGCTGCCTCCCTCCTCTCCCCCGCGGCACTGGCTGGAATTCTTTCGTGTATATATATACTGATATACACACACACACGTATATATATTTATATATATTTATACATATACGTATACAGGGTCATCAAAAAGTATCGGACCACCCTAATATTTTCAGTTGGAATGCATTTTGGAGAAAATGTCCCATAGCAAAGTTGTATGGTTTCAAGCGGGGAGTAAGCTGATGACCTTGACTTTGACCTCGACCATGTTCTTCAAGGTCATTTCATGGTCAACTTAATTTTTTTAAATAGAACCCCCAACTTTTTATTGCACATTCCTACAGCTGATCTCGAGAGCTTTCCAAAACACTGTACTAAAACATTTTTCATTAAGCACTTTTTGAGTCATAAAGGTTTGAAGTTAAAAAATTTTTTTGACACGAAATGTAAAATATCTTGTAAAATATTATTTGGCTTTCGGTAATCGTAACCTTAATACTTCTGTGCGCGGAATATGATTACCGAAAACTCAGTAATATTTTACAAGATATTTTACATTTTGTGTCAATAAATTGTTAACCTGAAACCTCTATGACTCACAAAGTACTTAATGAAAAAATGTTTTATTGCAGTGTTTCGGAAAGCTCTCGAGATAAGCTATAGGAATATGCAACAAGAAGTAGGGGGTTCCGTTAAAAAAAATTAAGTTGGCCTTGAAATGACTTCGAAGGACATGGTCAAGGTGAAAGTCAAGATCATCATCTTACTCCCCGCTTGAAACCATACAACTTTGCTTTTGGACATTTTCTCCGAAGTGCATTCTAACTGAAAATATTAAAGGGGTCCGATACTTTTCGATGACCCTGTATATACTATACACAACGTCGCATCCGCGAATGTACCAGCACACGCTCGCAAATACGGGAGTTATGAGGGATCTCCCGGCGCAGTGGAAAGAGCCGTGCACGTCGCGGACGCGCCGCGCGCGTTTATGCACCCGGAATACACCCGGATGATAAGGGGCCAAGTTTTAAAGTTTTTAATGCGTCGTCCCTGGTTGATGGCCCGATCTGTCCGCGTTACCCCGGGCGTAAATCGCGGGAAACGTATCGCCGCGTCCGACCGCGTTTGCACTTTGGAACGGGATCGAGAGGAAACGCGCCGTATTCCGCGTACGACGTACGCTCGCGGAATTACTGTACAAATTATTATTAAAATCTCTCGGGGAATAGAGGGATAATTTCACCTGGCGTAAAACGGCTCCTGAACTTTATATTTCGCGTAACCGCGGGAATTAACAGAGATCCGGGCGCGGCGGTCGTTCCCCGATGAATTTACTCCGTCTGCCCAGGTTTAGAATCGCGCGCAATGTATATTATGCATATGTTCCTAAACGCGCAATACCTTTTTCCGCGACTCACTTAGAAACGGAATTAATTAAGTAATTTGTGGTGAAAAAAAAGTACTGTGCAATTTTCAGAGCGGGACCCGGCGAAAGAGCGCTCCGCCTGCCGAGCGCTTAAGCTATCAAAGCGAAGTTGAAGCCCCGAAGCGATTTTCGGCGCAGCAATGGATAGCGGGAAAAACGGGATTTGGAACGGGTTTGATGCATTTCCATTCGATGGCATCTCGATCTTACGGGACAAAAATATAATTAATTTCCCGGAGGATATAAAACGTTCGGCGGGACAGCGGGATGCAAGATGTAGCCCATTGACAAAATTGTCGTTGTGTATTACAGGCCATTTCGAAATGGAACAAATAAATCCTCTGTCGTTGTGTATATTTAAATGTACCCGCGCGCGTTGGCGATAAAATAAAATTACATCTAATTTTACTTTATCGATCCGATACTTTTATTATTCGATATCTGGCGACCGCCACCAAACGGGTTGATCAATTTTATTTCCCATTGGATATATATTTTGGCGACTTTTTATAACTCGGAAAAAACAGATTTGTCATACAAACACGCAGTTTCGCCCGACTATTTGTCTGCCTGTAACCAGCATGGTCGACGTAAACGTCAAGCATTACGATAAAATACTACGTTCGAAATAAAGCTGGAGAGTTAACGTCATCGTATACCATCGCCAAATATGGATATTTAATAGTTTCGCGACGGACAGGAGATTGTTTTTCAGATGTTTGCCGAACGATACGCGACGACAAAAATATTTTACCTTCGCTCACTGATTACACGTCGCGAACAAATTCCTCTGGGCACGTTTGTACGTCAATCACTCGCAGTCGATTATCATTTTTCAATTAATTAGTAAAAGTTCCATTTTATTCCACTTTCAAACTTTATATTAACGTTGTCGCTTCCTCTCCCGTTTCCGTCTCTCTATTCTTAACTGTTTTATTCTCTCCCGCTCTTATATTATTTTCACGCTTTAAATTTGTCGCGGTGTAACGACAATTGTGCGACTGTTGCAACGATCGTTCATGTTAGTTTTCTATTCAGAATATAATAACATATTTCTTCTTCCCTCTTTTCTTCTTCTCTCTTTTCTTCCTCTTTTTTTACGCCCTTTACATTTCCATAAAGTCGACAGAGTCGGTCTGCAGAGGTGGAAAAAATATTCAAGAAAATGTCAGAATACACAAGCTCTCTCGCTCTCTCGTATCCTCGATAACGTCGCCAGCTGAGGATAGGGAGGCCAAACGAACGTAGGATATGTGAGGGCTCGATTTCTAAAAGCGGACGTCGCAAATTCGTGAAGTGGACCACGTGAGCGTGCTGGTGTGCGTGGAATAAATTCACGGATTCATTCACAGGCCCGCCGCTGATGCTGCTGTTCCTTTCATCCCCCGTATTCTATCGCGGAATTAAGAGCCCGATGAAAAACGATTCGAGATGCCGGCGCGTCGCGCGCTGAAGCGCATTTCGACGAGCGCGCTCCAGAAACGCTGCGAGAAACGCGTGACATGCAAAGGAATGCGCCGGACACGTTCCGAAAGTGATTGTACCCCTGAGGGATGGATGCGCGTTATCGCTGCAAAGAGAGTTTGAAAGAAACCGTGCACGCTTTATCGCCCCTGTATTTCTAAAGGCGCGCAGCTGCAAGTAGGATTGCCGGAGTCGGGTCTTGAATTAAAAGCTTGCTTGGAACTCATACACGTATACATAATCTTGTCTGCTGTTTCAATTTTCAGAAAACTTGGAAAATACGCAGACAAACGTAAGCTGGGAAGAAACTGAGTTGCAAGATAATGTACAATGAAATAGAAATTAGATATATAAACAGCTAACAAGAATATTCTTCGATGTCGCCAGCAGTGATTAACAACATCAGCGGTTGCTTGACCATATCTGGCATTTTTTATAATACAGAAAATTTATTGCGAAAAATATTACCTCAGCCAGGGTTTGAACCTGGACTTCCCTACTCTCGAGGCGGGCGTCTCATCAATTCGACCACTGAGGCATATGGTAATATTTGTCGCAACAGTATAAAGATGATATCTTCGCGTCTATTTTTCGACTTTAAATTGCGCTCCGATTCGAGTTGTCGGCAGTACAAAGAACTGTCGATACGTGATATTTTTAAGTATCCCTGTCCCCTTCCCCCCTTTCCCCAATTACGTGGGAACACCATGTTTGAGGTCAACGACGTACAATCAACTAACGAGAATATTCTTCAATGTCGCCAGCAGTAATTAACAACTTGAAATGTTTTTCGCAATAAATTTTCTGTATTATTAAAAATGTCAGATATCTGGTCAAGAAAACACCTGAATTTGTAGATATCTAAAATTCAAGAGAAAGAGAGAAGGGGAGGGGAAGGGGAGCTTTCGTAATAGTTAAATATTCTATTGCGAGCGTGATTGACAAAATTTGCTCAGAAGTGAATCCTTTCATAGCAATCCCTTTTTCGTCGGCAAACGCCGCGCCGAGGTAAATCGAGATACGAAGTTCGGAGATAAATTCTAGGCGATAGGAATCATACTCGGTATTCTTGGTGCAAATAAGTAATCAGATTAAAAGTTTCTCTCATCCAGTCTAGCGTGATCTCCAATAGCGAGTAAATCACGTGTTCGCAATTTGTCTTAATACAATATTGCAGAGAGTAATATCATCGCGGGCGTGTTGCGGACATTTCGCAGCGTGAACGTATAGAAAATAAGCTTCTCGATTAGACGTACAGTGATGGACAGAATGGCTGCAACACTTCTTTTTTTTAATAGATCTAGGAACGTGCGTGTTTATAGATTCAGGTTCATGTACCGAAACACGGAAGCGCTCAAAATGCTTTCGAGCAAAATATTCCTCGGGGAAGACTTTGGAACGTAACTATGAATCTAAACGCACGTCCCTAAACTCATTAAAAAAAGATGAATGACTCTAAAGTCACACAGTGCAGTGATCCCCTAAGATATTGCCTTATGCTTTATTCGGTCTAAACGAGGTAACTGACTATTGTCGAACCAATCTGTATTATAAGTTGTACCGTATTCTCATCCTGTACTTTCGATGATCTCATTATACTTTTTTTTTACTGAGGAAGACTCGAAGAAGGGTCGAATACGTTTATGCTATTAAAGAGAAATTTTGATTCTATATTGTCAGAACTGTGTTCCGTTCATTTTGTGGCTCACATTGGCACTCTCTCCTTTCTACATATTTTCATTAAAAAAAAGTGTCGCAACCATTCTGCCCCATCACTGTACATATAACAGTTTCGAAGCTTCAAGAATGTACCATGCGCGTAATATTTTTCTCAATTTTCAACTTTCGGACCAATTAATTTGATCGAAAGGGAACGTACCGGAGAAATTTCGGAAATATGAACGTCTGCGTGACATTTGCAAAGGAAATTACTGAAAGGAAGATTTATATATGCCCGGCGGATTTTTGCCGGCGTTTTTAAAATATTCAAGCGAGTAAATCGCATCTATACTGCCAACGTTTCGCATTTATGTTGAATTTATCAGCGACGATTTTCGCATCGAAATTTTTATGAATACTCGTAAGGTATTCTCAAGGCAAATCCACGAAAAAAAGGGGGGAATTTCCGTCTGCAAAGTTTCCGTCGAGACTGCTCGTTCGGTGCGTGCAAAGAAAGTGCGCTGAAATCACTCGATATCCATAAAATATATCGTAAGCTAAGCGCGTCACCGGCCAATCTTCCTCGACATGGAGTTCCGGCGAAATTTTGCGGAAAGGTTTGAAAGCGGAGGGAAATCGACGGCACTTATGAGATAAATCCGTGAAGCAGCCCGTCGCCATCGCCGTCGTCCTCGTCCTCGTCCTCGTCGTCGTCGTCGTTGTCGTCGTCGTCGTCTTTCCGCTCTCGAACGTCTTTTGTCTCCGGCGGCATTGATTGAAGTTTGTCTTCCGTCAGAGGAGATCGTCGCGCGCCACTTCCGTCGTCGGAGAGGCCGTTATTCTATTACGCGCGTCGCGTGTCAAGCGTCAAATAAAGGGTAAATAAAAAAAGAACGCGGATAAAGAAGGTGTCGAAGGGAGTCAAAAGGAAGAAAAAGGGAGAGAGAGAGAGAGAGGAATGAAGGGTGTGTGCGCACTCGAGGCGACGACACCGGGAACATCTTGGCTGGCACGTGCCAATCTTTATAGAGAGACTCGCGCGTGAGACTTGGCGCGATTTTCATTCGCGGGACTTGGCCGCTCGCGGTGAAAAACGGAAGCGCGGCGCGAATCGAGAATCGACAGCGGACTAATTGAAGTTTGCGTTACCCGAAAGCGTAAACTCGCGTTTACAACGCCGGCAAAATTGAAACACAACACAAAATCGAATAATGACGAGTAAACAGCGCGAGCTGTTTGCGAAGCGCCGAAAAGCGCTTCGAAATGAATCGGCGAGGACACGAGCGCCGTCGTATCGGCGGGGACACTTTTCGGTTTCGGGCGGAACGCTTTTTAAATAAACTAATAAATATTTGTACTGTTTTGTAATTGCGTACGAAGCATCGCGCGGCGCAATGTATTAGCGGGAGGCGCGCCGCGCGTCGTACTGCACGTCGCATGCAATCCGACAGCCGATTACCAAACCGACACACGCGGACCGGCTGCGCCTGTGGTTGCAACCGGCCATTAAATCAAAAGCCATTAAACTAATCAACATTACTTTAGGACTTTAATAATGTTTCCGCGCGCGCGCGCGCGCGCGTCCCGGCCACCGGGAATTTTCGGGACGCGCGAATTTTCGTCATTTGTCGTTTGTGCACACTTATTACCGATCGCAAAACACAGTGATTCGTGTGAATTATCGCGCGAAACGTCCTGCAAATTACGCCGAGCACAGAGGATTTTTCGCTCCTTCGGGCGCGATTATGCGGACGAGCTCGGACAGAGCTCTGTGGAGGCCCGATACTCTATATCTCGAATAATCGATTCGGCTAAACGCTCGTTCTAAATAAACCTCGGCGCGCGCTACATTGCGGGGTAACAATCGCCGACAAGAAGCTCTCTCACTCGATTTTCTAAGAGCCCGCACTTACGCCGTGAAAGCTTCCGCCTTTATCTATCCCATTTTTATCCTTTCGCCGAACCATCTTCGAGTCGCGTCAGCCGCGACGCTTGTAGTATTTATCAGAAATTGTTGCGACGGCGACATCGTCACGAGGCTGCGATCCCTCGGGCGAAATCCACTCTCGATAGTCCCCCGGAACATTTGACGCTACCGGGGACAACAGCGGTGCCGAAAGGATTGTAAGGCGAAATTGTTTTACCGAAGAATGTCAGCGGCGTCGTGAAAGGCACGATTTAACAAGCTTAAACTAAACGAGCGGCGTTATCGCGAATAGTCGTGTGACTTGCTGGGCTGCGTGTTCAATTTTATGTTTTCAATTATTCAAAACGCGACAGGTACACCGGGTGGTCATTAATTATCCGGCAGATCTGATCACGTTTTATTCGCGTTAGAAACTTTATTTAAAATATGCAGGTGTGATATTATAATTACTTGTGCCATTAATTTCGACTCCCGACCGGCTGCGCCCGTGATGCATAAATAGATGAAATATAAAACAGGTTGCAACGTTATCGGGCAATGCTATCACCTCTCTTCAAGACTTCCACAAATCTGTCCGCAAGGCTTAGCCCCGCATCGATTGCCTCTACGTGAAATGACAATTGTCACGTGTGATTCTTTTAAAAAAATTTCTAAACAAAGTGGCGGTTTAAAACAGATACTACCTCGCGCACGTACCGTCGTTGCTTCGGGAGATAATTTATGAGAATGCGTGCATCCCCGGAGGAGCTTTCGCGCCTTTCAAACGTCTCCGCGCAACGTCACGCGTTCCGCGCAGCCTTAACAAATCTAATTCCACCCCTCGAAGCCGCTTTCCTTTCGTAGCTACGCCACTTGCAACCACCAGTCTCCATCGCGCCACCACCGCCGTTGCCGCCCGCGAAATCATCCCTCGCTTTTTATATGTATATCCATCGGCGGCGCCAAGATCTCAAAGCATTGATAAAGAAGAACTCTATTCACACCGCCCACGAGA